TTTATTTAAAAGATATAGTTTGAAAGAACTTATATTTTAATTTTTAGCTTTATATCTTATATATTTAGCTTTGTACAGATTCTTAAAAAGTGTACATAATACTATGATACCCTACTGTATTTGGCATTTGTTAACTTTAAAAGAGTTAAAAATTTGGGTTGCAATCATTATTTATATAGGTTTTTACAAAATTTACCATATAGATAATTTGTAGAATTCTAATGAACAAAAGGCTATTCATAGTATTAAACAATTTATAACAACATATCGATTTGAACAAATAAATGATTTCTAATCCACATAGTTCTAATTTAAATTGGTACTTTAAAGTAAAGCCACTAGCATCTCATTTTCAAGATATATTTAAAAAGTTATATACACCTAGTTTACAAGTTTCTGTAGATGAAATAATGGTTTATTTTTTTGGCTGAAGTATGTATACTGTAAAAATGAAAAACAAACCAATACTTAAAGGCTACAAAATATATTCTCTATATAATGCTAGCTATATATACACATTTATATTTAGTTCTCAAGCTGAGAATAATAAGGAGTTAGAGTTAATTGCTAATATTAATAAAGCTGGATATATGTAGAACTGTTCAAACTAATTCATCTAACTTTTCTAAAGAGTTAAAATTAATAATGCATATTTATAAAATTGGAATACACTAAGAAGAGTAGTTACAGATATCATTTTAACAGTATTATAGATTGATAATGGGCCAGTAACAATGCTTACAACTATTCATGAAATTATGAGTAATAAGTGTAAAGTTATTTGAAATAGACAGCATCTATATAAAACAAGTACTAATATAAATAAGGTTCATTAAGTATTTGGTGATATGCTATAAAAAGCATTGCCTATTTCACAAGTAATTGATAATTATAATAATTATATGAGAGGTGTTGATCTTGCAGATTAGCTTAGAGGTTATTATAATTGTTAATTAACAACATGTTATATTTAGTTTCTCTTGTATTTTTGGTTATTAGATACTGTTCTTAATAGTACTATTCTTTATTGCAAAGTTACAAATACAAAGATTGCAAGTAAAGACTTTTAAATCACTCTTGTATGGGATTTAATTCAAGAAGCTATAGATAATGAGAGTAGTAGCAATAGAATAATTAAAGCAAAAAAAAGCTTTATTGAAATCATCACTAAAAAATAAAAGAATTGCATATGTTACTAAAAATTTTAACCTATCTATAAGTCAACTTTCTTCAGAAAATCATCCAGTAAAATGGCAAAAAAAAAGAGAACTATGTCTATATTGTCATTATTTAGTAAAAAATAATGACAAAGGTAAAAAAAAAAAATTATACAATTTTCCAAACTTAACTCTGGTGTATTAAGTATAATATACCTCTTTGTTTCTCTAATGTGCAACCTAATTGTTTTAAAGATTTTTATAGTAAAAAATAAATAAATTTATTAAATATTTGTTTTTTATTGTTTTTTACTAATTTTGGAATAGATTTATAATATATTAATTATAATTAAATTATATAAAAATAATCATATAAAATTAGAAGCAAATTTGTCCTGAATTTAAATACAGACTAAGGGATAGGTTTTTTAGACAATTTATATAAAAAAATTATCTCTAAATTAAAATATATTAGAGAATTATATTTATGGATGTTCTATAGAATAGGTGAGAAAATTTCGCAAACTTCACAACTCCACTAAATATTTATTAATGATTATTAATTATTAGCAGAGTTTATTTTATATATTGCCCATCTATTCTATAAAACATCCATATTTATTATATTTTTTATAATATATAAATAACTGTTTATAGATTTTTTAGACAATTTATATAAAAAATTATTTCTAGATTAAAAGATACTAGAGTATTATATTTATTGTATTTCTTACAAGGGAATTACTATTTTCACAAGAGTCGGGAACGGGCCGGGCTAAGCCCGGGAATTTATGGGCCGGGCCGGGCTCGGGTCTAATTCGGGCCCACATTTTTGGGCCCGCTAATTTTTGGGCCGGCCCGTGTTAGGCCTGTTTAAATAACAGACTGGGTACGGGCTTTGTGGCCAGGCCCGGTAGGCCCAGCAGCCCTATTATATTATACTGTTAACACTTCAATTTAATTGTTAATAGTATAACTTCTTTTTCTTTTTGCATTATTAAATAAATTACGTTCTCTAAATCACGAGATTTGCATGTTAGCGATTTTCAAATTACTAATGAATAAGCACACCTATTAATTAAAAAAACTGTGCCTATTTTCCACACTTTATGGTAATAGATATCGAGATATCTTTGATAAAGGTTTATATTAAAAATTCATTGATCCCTTTTCCTATAGTAGCAATCTTGATATAGAGGATCACGAGAATAAATTAAATTGATGTTTATTACTTTATAGAGAATATCCGGTCTTTCATTTAATGTAATAAGCCTTGAGGATAATCTTGAGAGATCGACTCCACCATATTGACAATAAATAAAACTCTAAAACATTTTGGGACATAAAACTATGTGATATTGTTTTAGCTAACTATATAAAAATAACATTATAAGGTGAAGCCTGAATTACAAGCTAGTAAAATTTAATATGATTACCACATGAGATTTAACATAATAATCATAATAAAAACACAATTTAGTCCTAGTGTGATCTATGTAGCAGACCTTAATAGTTCGCGATCTGGGTTTTTCTTTGTTTTTTAAAAATGAATTTAGCATTAAGATTAATATTTAAATTTATTAAAGAATAGTAATTTACTATATTGTTTGGCGATATTACCTCATACAACAGATAAGCTAAGCTATCATTTGATTTGCTAATCCTTTCAAGACTACTGTAGAAAATTATCATGACTGAATTGAGCTTTAAACTTATCAAATTCAGTAATATAACCGGAGCGCCATTTAGCTGAATACACAATTGCTAATCCACCTTCTTCAAAATAATCTATATTTATAAAATTTTCATATGTAATACATTTCATTATTTTTTCAAATGCTTCAAGGTTGCATTGAGAGTCACGAAGCAAATGTCTCCGCTAATCCAATTTGGAACATTTCTAGTAAATAATCAATTATCTACAGTATGAAATTAAACATTTCTTTAAATTCCGTAATTATATTTTTTTCCGATCAATCTATAATTATGCAAAAATGGAACTTTCAAATCATTTTTATTGAGGCGCACGCCTTCATTCATCTTCAGATATTCTACACGAAACTGCATAAGTTAGTTGAAAACCAATAGGTCACCATAAACTTTTGGTGAATTTATCAATTTCAAATTATGCCAAAGTCGATTAAACCTAATGAGTTTATATTATTAAATTTATACTGGCATATCCATATCCTTCTATTTGATTCTATTGAGAGATCAAGTCCATTGTTTTTATTATTGAAGAAAAATGCTTTAAGGCTGCAAGATATATCTCTTTTTATAATCAATGAATTTAGACTGATTCGTTTCAAACATTTTGTCTTCAGTAATAAGTAGTATCGCTCCAAACTAATAACTTTTCATGTATATATAGAAAATTTTCAGCATAAAATATTTTATTTAATGCCGTGTGTTTTTAGTTTTTTCAGATAGCAAATCGAATTTAAAAACATAATTAACGATTTTTATTCGCAAAGCAAAAGCAAGATTAAAAAATTGTTCGAAAGAATTATTCCTTATGAAAAATAAAAAAAGTAATATAGGAATTGTGCATTTTAACAAATATAATATATATGTATATATTGATTTAGGAACTTAGTTTTTTTTTTTGATTATAAGGATATTGATTCTATAAATTTGCACTAAAAAATTAATCTGCATTTCAAACTTGAAAGTTGAAAAATCAATCAATAGTAATTAATAGAATTTAAAAATAACGCGTGATAAATATATCCTTTGAATAATATCAGTTAACAATGAACATAAATATGATCAAATGATACTAATTTAACATAATTATCTAAATCATTTTTAAATTTATCCCATATAGCATCAAATTCGAACAGACCGTGTATATGCACCTTATCCAAAGTCTTCTTTCTTATACAAAACTTAATTAATGCATCCGTTGATTTTTTGTCATAATATTTGATTCTTAATAATAGCTTTCTTAAAGGAACATTACAATGATCGAGAAAATCGTCAACGTATGGTGAATTACGCAAATTAAGGTAATGTAATGATAATGGCAAAATGTCTGCAAATTTTATAACGCTTGTTTTCGTTTCTTCTTCTTCTGATTCATTATCAATCCATTGTAAGGTGAGAAATTGAAGATTTTGTAAACTGCCAATGAGTTTTAGGAATTTATCAGAAAGCTTAATCCTAGAAAATTCGAGAAAAGTGATGTTTGGGCAGAGCGATTTAAGTTTATCTAATAATAACGGTAATGAATAGATTTCCTTTTGATCCGAAGAAAGTCTTAATCGCTGTAATAATGTTCCAGATCTTTGCACTAATTGTAACATACTTGATACATTAATCGAATGAGCACATAAATCTAAAGTGTTAACCCTATGATGATTGATGTCTAATATAATCAATATTCTATCCGTATCCATACCATCATATATACGAATAATTTCCAAATTTTTGAAATTCTTTATCTTGTTAAATTCTGTACTAAAAAAAAAGCAGCTTTTCAATATGAGTTCCCTTATTGAATTTTGCTGATCTTTTAAGGCTGAAATGATGTATCCACAACTACACACTAATTTGAGACGTCTAAGTTGTTCTTGAGATTTAATGACGCTGGCAAGTGTGTGAATTAGTTCCTCATTATCTTCAGTCCTCCCGAGTTTTATTGAATTAATTTTTTTTGCATTTTCATTCAAAATTTTTAATAATGTAATAGCGCTTTGAGGGCATGGAATAATTTTTATATTAACTGCTAAGTTTTTGACTTGAGAGAAAAAACGTTCATTTCGACCTAATAAGTAAAATATCTCTGGCTTAATAACAAAGACTTCATCACCTGCTTCATCATCATAAATTTCACTCTCATCGTTCATTTCTAAATTAAATTTAGATAAAGAGGCACCTCTCTCGATAAATAATTTTAATAACAAATTAGCCACGTCATATTTTACCATCTTAATATCCTTTTTCAAATTAATATACAAATCAATAATCCACTCTTCAACTGCACAACTCAGTTCAGGTAAATCCATGGTTTTTAAAAATCTTGCGTATTGAAATAGAGTATTAGGAAAATCTATGATAATTCCACATTTGTCTAATATAAAACTATCGTGCTCATTGAGTGATGAAAAGTATCTAGATATAAATAATCGTGATTTTAAATATAATGAAAATGGATCTCTCCAAAGAATAGGAATAGATATCTTGCTCCAAAAGTGGTTTACAAGCATACATGAATATAAAGAGTGAATATCTTCTTTTAAATTATTTAGAATAATTTCTAATAATTCAGGTATGTCGCCCATAAGTATTTTTGATGCCATGAAAAGATAATTCGTTGTGTTAATTAGATCGCTTGTCCGTAGATTAGGTCGCTGCAGACTAGGTCACTTGTATTAATTAGATTGATTACGCTAATAGTATACTTAGAAATTTCAGAGAAGTCGATCGTTAGTACGAAGAAAAAAAAAGCGGCTTTTATAATTTGATTACATCTTGTGTAACTGTGTCACTCATTGTTCCACCTAATTAGGTTATGCAATGATCACGATTTATTATACGTACGTACTATTTTAAGCTAAAAAAAGTCAATTAAATTTTTCACGGATTTAAAATTTTTGGCCAGAAATTTTGCCGCCCAGATTATCTGAATTCTTTTGCGTTGACGTAGAGTCAACAGATCAAAAGATGCTGATGCGCCTTGTGAAACCATCGACCAGAATAAATCCAATTCCGGATAATTAAAGGAGTTGAGTATGATTTGAATAACTTTCCACAATAAGCAGTAATCACTAACTTAATAAAGGCGGCAATGAGAAGTACAGTAAATTGTCATGTCAAGTTTCATACCAAAAATTTTTTTACAATAAATTATGATAATTCATGACTGTTACGTAATTCCAATACAAACTAATTCAAACTCAACCACACATTATTGCGGTTTGCATAATTTTGTGACCACTATTACTATACAGGAGCGACCGTCGATGTTACACGACTGACTTTTCACCCGGTGTGCAACATATAAAAAAACTATTTTACAAT